AGAGATCAAGGCCTGTACAAACCTTGTGGTGAAGTGCTGAGTTGTCACTTGCTCCATATCCTTGTAGCAGATGATAGCAGTCAGGGTTGCTTAGAGGCCTTCTCCAGTGCCCTTTTAAATATTCACTTTTTTTTTTTTTTTAAAGTAGAGCTGCTTTTTGAATACAGTCTATTTGGCCTCACTCCAATCAGTAGCTAGTCCTGCATGTCTGAAACATTGTTTGGCGCACTTGTACAAGCTCTGATTTGCTGTGACATGTAGCAGTAATCACTGAAGTGTTTTGGATGAAAATGGAGTCAGTGTCCTTCAAATGCAACTGGAGTATTGTGCTTCTGAGTGATTACTTCTTCCTTCACAGTCAAAAATAGTTTTTCTCCATATATTGCAGTTATCTCTAGGTATAGGCAATGAGACATGCAGTTTCATTACTATTCGTACCATCTCCCATACAGACACACGACTTACTGAAGAGCATGCAGCAGTACAGTGACATGGCTTTGTTCCTTGAAACTCACTTGATTTCACCATTTGCAAAGAAAATGCAAATGACCAAATAACAGAAAACAGTGTACAAAAATGCCTATGTAATCATGTAATCAAATAACTTCTACCAATAGACAGGTGATCAAGAACTGATACCCTTCAGTCTAGGAATAACCTGAATCTCCTTGTTATACCATCACTTGGGAGTTTCTGATGATTGATAGCAGCCGTGCTAGTCATTCCTGAAGTACTTTCTGACTAAAAACTGATGTTGAAATAAGATGTACACAGCTTTTTTTTTGACTTATAAACTAAAAAACATTAATAACATTAGCTGCACTAATTCTTCTTTCTATACCAAAGTAAACATGGTCTACAACCACAAAACTCAGACCTAGGTTTAATACTGAATGAACAACAGCACTTATGAGGCGCTTTCACTCAGATGAAGACAAGGATTCAAACCCTCAGCTGGCTTAATATAATGTAACTCAACTGATTTGATTATATTTCATCTATGCTAGGTTTTGGAAGCTCACTGTTGGGCAAGATAATTGCAGGAAACAGACAAAAAACAGTATAAATGACTAGGGAAAAAAAAAATAGGATGCAATGGCTTGCAGACCTGCTAACATTATGCATACCAGTACCATATTTCTATGAGGAATTCAACACCTTGATATCACCAGTTTCATCTGTATCCCTTTTTTGTAAGACTATCTGGAATATTAGCATTTCAGTGGACTGAACCTTCTTTTGTTAATACAGCTGCTGTTGACTCATCTGCACCAAAGAGTTTGCATTCCAGTGTTAAATGTGAGTATAGTTTTGTTTTCAAATTAAGTCTGGCTTCATCTGTTTGGTTTGTAAATACTAGTCTTTTTTATGATGAGGAGGCATGCCTAAGAAAATGCATCACTCCAAGTACGGTTAAGATAATAATATCAGAATCATAAGATGGCCTGGGTTGGAAGGAATCTTAAAGATCACCTAGTTCTAATCCCTCAAGCATTTAAGTATTTTACCTAATATCTAAAATAGTAGCTGTATCCAGCTGCTGGTTCACGTTTGCACAGTTGCATTCTAATTTGCAAAGTGTAAGAATCTTTGGTATACATTACATGTGGTTACTTAAGGCATAAGTTACTCTAGTTTTTCAGTCCCAACTCAGACCAATGGCCTGTCGAATTCCTTTGCTCACCTACAGTGTATTTTCTATTTCCTTAACTGCTCTGTGTACCTCTAGGCATCAGGCATACTACTGTTACGACAGATAATATTTTATTGCTAAGACAACATTGCATTGCATCTTAACGCCACCTCTTGGCTGAAGCCTGCAGTACCCAACATTTAAGCAGAGTCTCCGGTATCGTTTGTTTTTTGAAAGGTAGCAAACATGGTTGAACGTTGAACAGCAATACATTCATCCCTTTCCTTGAAAACAGAGTTCACTGTGAAACGTGTTCAGATTTCTTCATTCATTTCTTCATTCACCTGGTTTTAAGGCATATCCTGCTTCTCTGTTGGAAAATGCTATATATGGGACCATACACTATTTCTGCACAGAAAACCTACAATTTAAAATCAAATTTTTAAAGCAAGAAAAGTGAAAGTTCCTGCTTTTTAAGAATGTGCGCAGAGTGGATATCTATCAGTTATCAGAGATCTGCAGTTGGTTATCACTCTTACTGGGGTAGAATACACATAATGCAGTTGAAAACAAAGATAGCTCAAAGACAACATTGAGATGCAATTGTTTAAGGAAGATACTTTTTTCTTCTTGGGTGGTATGTAACTCTTTCCTTTAAATATTCAGAAAAATGGATCACAAAAGATCGACAGTGAAGAAAAGCAAGAGAAAAGTCCAGAATCACATCACATAATGAGAATTTTGCTTGTTTTTAAAAACTTCATGCTTCATATCACATTAGTCTTTCCTCAGCACTAGCTTTCATATAAGCATGTTAAACTTAGTATTTTTGATTGATTTTAATATTTTAAAGGAAGGTGATCTCACAGAGGCGCACAAGGCACAGAAACTCATTTACTGGAGAAGATCAAGAGGACATTATCTATGTTCCTTATAATAGTTGCTTATCATTTCTCTTGTACAGCTAATCAGGAATGTACTGTTGTGTGTGGTTTCTGTTTATTTAAAAGCCCACATGAGTACAGGGCTCCTGTACATAGAAGCCATAACATGAGGAAATGAGGATTCAGCATCATTTGTATCTTTTATATACCAGCATTCTGCTAAGGAAAGCGACTCACTTTTGTCATTTAACATTTATCTTCACAAAAGGATAGGTTAGCTCCAGAAATATCTGTCTTGGCAAAAGAAATTTTGTCACTGAAAAACTCAGAATTTAGAAGTCACAGTGGATAGATAAGAATTTATGTCTTCTGAAGTGTTAAGCAGAACAGTAGCACAGTGGAAGTACAGTCACTGTTAATGGGGTCAATGTGCAATCATTTGTGCAGTATAAAATGATTTTATGTCCACAAATATAGGCTTCTGTTTATCATTTGCATATTAAAAGACAAAATAAATGAAGGCTGTTTTGCCAGCCTGCTAGAATAACATGAGGACAAAACTAATTTTCTGCTTAGTTGAAGATTGCACATTTTTTCTTTTCATGTAGAATTCCTTCCCACAACCATTCCTACTTTTGTTATTACTAGTTGCTGTTTACAGTGTGCTTTTAAAACCTTGAAATTTATCAGCATGCACAGCAGTTTTGACAGCCACACATTCTGATGAGATATAATATCCTACCTGTTCAATCCATACAGTCATGTAGATATAGACTTGTTTTCCAAATATGCAATCTGTGTTGCACAGCAAGCACTTAGTTCTCCAGTCAGCTGCAAGAAGAAAACCCAGGTCACTTGGTAGTGGTGCAGGTGTCTGCAAACCTGTTAAAATAAAGACAAAGCCTCAAACACCTGCAGAGATTAATCCTGAAAAGACAGAACAAAATACTGTGTACAGTGCTTTGTTTCATTTTAGAAATAAACACACTGCAGATAAAACACTAAATAAAATGTAAACGTTTTATTTAAAGTACTTTGTGACACTATTAAAACAAACCATTTCTCAAGCTGTCTGTACTGTTGTTCTTTAGGTTAAGAACTGCATAGATGAACTGGAAACATGCAACGTGTAAGGCTTCCTCCTGAATGCCTTCATGTGTTTTTTAGATTTTCAATTCTAGGGTTTAAAAGAGTATGAGTTTAAATTTAGTGGTTCATTGAAAGTTTTGCTGCTTTGAATCTCATGAGGTTACTAATGTCACAGTTGGTAAGAGCGTCATTGATTAACTTCACATGAGAATTTCTTCTCATGACTTTTACATATGGTATATAAAGCATTAGAAATGCTACCATCCTTCCATTTGTGAGAGTAGCATGACTTATGAAACTACTGTGGAAGTGGTAATTCCATGACTACCCCAACACTGAATATGTCTGACTAGGAGAATGTTCACATTTCTTATTGTCGATAGAGGCCATGTTTACTAGAAAGAGCATCTAACAAGTACAGAAAAAGCTTAAGTTATACTGCAGAAACCACCATAGGCCAGATTTTAAGAAGTATCTTTGTAATAAAAAAGAAAAATTCCTATTCCAAAGGAAATGTGAAAATCCTGGAAAAAAATTAAATAAATCCATTATAATCCATTTTTATACTGATGAAAGAAAAAAGAAAAAAAAACTTATTTATACATTAAGTTTGAGAGTCAAACTTATCTGTTGAATTCAGAAAGTCCTCCAAATTCTTCAGTTATAAGGGATTAAGAGCTACAGCTGAATTACATTTCTTGGAAGCCTGGAAGCATGAGACAGTGTTTCCATAGCCTGTAGGTTCCAGAATTCTCTCCCAAACAATATTTCTATGATATTGTGATGTTTGAGTCAGATCTCCTGTGGCTGATCAGCTCAGTAGAGAAGCAGAAACCTTGGCTGATACACACATGAAACTGTCCCAAATGAACTGGTAGGAAACTGGGAAAAACTTAACACTTATGAAAGATTGATCAAAACCAGTCCTAACTGAGGGAACCCACAAATGTAACCCACGCTTTATGCAAGAAGATGAGCCACCCAAATAATTAGTTGGCAGGTCCTGCAATTCTGAAAAACCCTAACTAAAGCTCATCTCTGTGGCTCCATCACAGCCTCAGTCCACCATTCCAGGGAAGCACACTGGACCAGCTCACCCAGTTCTGAATCCCTTCCTGCTCTCCCATTCCAAGAGAGGAATGCAGAAGTAGACACAGAATTCCAGATGTGGCTTCACCAGGTCAGAGTAGAGGGGGAGGATCACCTCCCTAAACCTGCTGACCACACTCTTTTTAATCCACTCCTTCTTGGCCACAATGGCACACTACTGCCTCATGGCCTATTTGCTGTCCACCAGGGCACCTAGGCCCTTTTTCTAGCAGGTCAGCCTCTAATCTGTACTGATGCATGCAAGCATCCAACCTGCCCAGGTCTCACTGAGTAGCAACACAACCATATCATGTTTCAGCCACCCTTCCCACCTTTACATAATCAGCAAACTTACTGAGAGTGCACTCTATCCCTTCATCCAGGCCACTGGTGAAAATATTGAACCAGACTGATTCCAGCACCTTCCTTACTCATAAGGAAAAGATCCAGCAGCAAATCTCTTCTCATAGTCTCTTCCACCACCACCTGTATTAGAAAGTTATCTTCCATATACTACAGGAACTTCATAGACTGTGTACGTCTATCAGTGTTGGTTTTCCAGCAAATAGCAGGGTAGTAGAAGTTCTCTCCCTCCATCCCTCCATGAGAACCAATGCCTGTAATCACAGAACTACTTTCAGCTGTCTGTGGAAGGTCTTATCAACTTCTTTTTCCTGATCACAGGCACCTGTGAGTGCCTGTAGTAAACACCCGCAATGGTGTCACCCATTTTAGTCTGCCCCTTAATTCTCACCCATAAGCTCTCCATTCATTTATCACTTCCCCCTAGGCAGAGATTGATACATTCCAGTTGTTCTCTCAAATAAAGAGCAACTCCACTATCTCACCTTGATGCTCTGTTTTTCCTAAAAAGAGCACAGCCATCCATGTCAGTCATTTAAGCTGTCCCATGTCTCCATGATCACAATGAGATCATAGCTCTATGAGCACGTATATATCTCTTACTCTTCCTGTTTATTTCCCATCCTTTGGTATACAGGCACATCAGAGAAGAAAAGGGAGCAGGGGATGTAGGCTTCTCTTGAGGGATGCAAGAAGTTCCCGATGTCTGTACGCATAATTGTGGAGGTTGAACTTCTGACTTATCTCATGGGAAGCAGCTAAGGAACATCTGTCACTGTTGTGGTTGGCCTGGCATATTCCCCAGTTGGTTGCAATAGTATGAGCATTGCCATTTTGGACCCCACCCCAAAGTCATTTAGTTTAAAGTCTGCCTCATGAGGTTGGCCAGCCTGCTGCCAAAAATTGCCTTGCCTGTACTAGACAGGTGGATCCCATCCATCTCTAACAGGTTATAAACTTCACAGAAAGTCCCATTATCATAAAAACTAAAACCCTCGTGCCAGCACCAGCCACGTAGCCAGAGCTGATATGCATCATATGTCTGTTTCTGTATTCCCTCTTTCATGCAAAATTGAAGAGAAGATAGCTTGGGCACTGGAGTTCCCAGGGCCTTATAGCCCTCTTTGATTCTGCCCATGTTCCAGCCTCCAGTGTTATTCATGCCTACATGAAAGAGCAACAGTGGATAGCAATCCATGCTCATGACAAACTGAGGCACTCTCTTGTCAATGTCCCACATTTTGGCTCCTGGAAGGCAGCAAACTTCTCAGAATTCCCTGTCAGACAGGCAGAAAGAAGCCTCACTGCCTTCTAACAGGGAGTCACATGTTTTAGGAAAAAGGAATGGTATCTTTCTTAAAAAAAAAAAACAAAACAAAATGAAAAAACCCCAAAACCTCTATCTGTCAACAGAGTACTTAAGTGTTTTATGGTACACAGTGGTCTTTTTATAACTTGTGTTCTTCTTCATGTAATTTTCTGCATGAGACAGATATTAGTCAAAATAGTAATTTCTGTTTGGGTTTTTAGCCAGTTTAGAATGAAATTTCTTTGTGACTTTCAAGAACACAACATCTGAGAATAAGAACAAGTTGTTTCTCCAAACAGCTCAAAGGCGTAAAAAATTGCAGCATTTTATCTCAGGAAGATTGGAGTTTGTGTGAATACTCTATACAGTCAATTATATAAATACATAATTTCATCCTCACAGATGTAGAAATGCTAGTTGTTGCTAATCTTGGGCAATTGAATGGATCATTTAGCAATCAGTGAAAATTAATGTGTTTATATATGCAAACATCAACTTTCTATCACTGCGAGTTTATGGAGTGCTAGAGAGATGGTTTTAATAATACATTTTTCAGTCTGTAGAAAAGAAACATGCATATCAGCATTCCAGGGGAGCCACAATGAAGGAAATATCAAATGTATGACTACAGCTTTCAGTGATTTACTGGGCAGCGTGCTTCACAAATTTTTCTTCTCCCTCTTCCAGTCCTATGCGGCTGGCAGCTCCGTCTGGAATCTGAGTTCCTTTGTGGCAGACACCGTATGGCCCAAAGATCATCTTCCAGGGATTTCTGCCCCAAAAGATGCATCAGCTAGAACAGAGTAAATGTGTGCTATCACCTCTTCTACAGTGAGGAAATTAAGACACCTGAGATTAATTATCGTACCTGTGGTCACACTGGAGCCTGTTTCAGAGCTGGGAATTAAGGAATAGTTTTCTAAGTTCTACTGCAGTCACTCATCACAAAAGCATCCTTCCCAATGATTTCAGAGTCAATGCTGTTGAAAGCAGCATTTGTAAAAGGGGAACACAAAACTAGTGGGAGCTACTGGAGGATGCAAGGAGCAGGAGTTTGTCATAACCATTGTGCACTGACTCTATTTTAATTTTGCATTCCTATTCCACTGCCAAAGGGGAAAGAAATATGCTTCAGCAAGCAATACTTAAACAGGGATAAAGCATCTTGTTTCTCTTGTACTCCAGCTTCCCATCTTCCCAGAATCCTGTTGTACAATATCGATGTTAAAAAAAACCTGCCCATACCTCTCCAGAGGTTCGTATATCCCTGTCAGTGATTTGGAAATAGCTGTGAGTCTTCAGCTTCTGTTTTTCCAGCTTACCAACAATGTTTTTCAATCGCAAAATATAGAGTCACTTGCATTAATGTAAGCTGTATGAAATTTTGTTTGCCAAAGTAAGTTCTTGATCACTTCTCAGCATCAAGCAGAATTAGCAATTCAGCATCCCTTCACTTGCTGCATTTTGGCTTCAGGTAAGAGACAAAAGTCTATCTTGGCTAAAGAGGCTTTAACAGTTTTTAGTAACTTAGAATCTTCAAAAATCAAGAGAAATGCTGCTAGATTTGTCCTTTTGTTGGGCCACATTTTCACAGGCATAAATTACCATTGTCAGTTCTTATTGATTCATGAAGGAGGGAGGGAGTTCTGGCCTTTCATAACAGAAATGTGCTGAGATATACTTCAGATGAGAAATGGGCTGAGATGCTCTGAGTATAAGAGTTGGATCTTCTTTGCTTATGAAGGAAATGGTGAATAGTTAGTGGTTAAGAACGGGTTGCACTTACAGAGCTGGGAATTTCACTTGTTGGTTATGTCTTATTTATACTGGCTAAAAGATTAAGAAAGAAATGGATTACTTTCCCATTACAAGTAAAATAAATGCCAAATCTTGTCACTGTCTGCTCATGTTTGAGAGAAGAGAGGGAGTTCTTTATTTTGATGCAGTCTACAAACTAATGGTGTCAAATGCTCCACTGATGTCCATGAATTTGTTCATAAAGCAGAACCAGTCACACACAGCAGATGTTGGTTACAGCCAAAAGTTCCAAGTTTACTAATATTCTGATTGGATGGTATCTACAGAGAGATGATTCCTTCTTGCCTTCATCATGGAGAAATTTCTGCTAATGTCAGTGTGAGCTCTTATTTTAGCAAAATGAGCAGAATTTGGCATGGGTTGAAAATGACATGGCAAACAGCAAGGGGCAGCGTCACTTAGCAGAGTTTTGTGAGTATATCTGGTATTTTAGAGGTTTTTCTTCCTCTAGAAAATAATGCTTTATTCTCTCAGTTGATACTGTTACAGAGTTTAACTATTGGTGAAAAGAAATAATGCTGAACTAGAGCTTTGGGGCTTAAAAACCACCCACACACTGTAGATTAATGTGCCAACATAGGCATTTCACAATGATAGCTAGTAAGGCAAAGAGCATCTGAAATCAAATCTAAGCATTTGAGCCTTCTCTGTCGCTGGTTTCTGTTGAAGGAATGGTATTGTTTGCTCTGAACTGCCAAAATAAGCAATCCCCACACCAGACAAAGTGTTATTAGTGCAGTCTGCAGCATTTGGCCCATAGATCTGAATATTGTAACTGTTCTTGTGTCTCTTTGTATTGCACTGCTCTAAAATCAGAGATTACATAAATTAACAATGGCAGCCAAAACTGAGAAAAATAAAATTTCAGAAAAGTGATCCATGGTGGATAAAGAATAAACTGTTGCAGTCATCCAGTCTGATTTTCTCCCTAGGACTTCCTTCCCCACATTGCTGTCTGCCAAGTCAGTGGAGAGGAGAGCTAGAAATATGTCCAACCTCATTTATTTACATGCCACCTTTCATTAAACTGTTACAAAGGATAATTTACCTCACTAGGAAGGACATACGCCTTTCTTTCAAGATGAATTTGTCCAGCTTTGATAATTATATGTGCAGTTTAAGTCATAAAGTTTTGGAATAGGATTCATAACTTCAGCAGCTGTCATTTGTCCGTCAAAAGAGACTGCACTACAGGTTCACTGTACTTATGCTCCAGATTCCCACTCTTTATAGACAGTGATATTACTCTAGTTTTGGCTACCGTCACCATGAAAAAACACAGGAACCTGTTTATCTAGCAAAAGATAGGAGTGTTTTTCAGCAACACTGATTGCCTGGTTAGACTTTAAGTAAAATCCTGCATTTTTTGGACTGAGATGTTCAGTTATTATGCTGAAAAGCATACTGCTTGCCTACATATACGTTATTGAATGCTGCAGATCATTTTTTTACAGTAAATGACTCCTGTTCTCTTTGTCCTTGAGTAACTTCCTTTCCCAGGGAACTCATAAGTTCACCAGCTGTAACTGTTCAACCTTCATGAGGAAAGAGTTTATGTTTTTACAGATAAATGAAAGAAATAATCTAATAACACAACATCAAAAGTGATCCTTGTGTTATAAATACCTGGCTTGGAAGGAGCCCTCGCTTCTAACGGCATTTTCAGATCTGCCAGTTAGCCGTTTTGTAAACACTTGTAGTTTTGTTGTCTTGTAATTCTTCATCCAAATATCTTGCAGAACAAAGCCAAGGAGCTTGTAGGAGTCTTTTAAACAAACATATTTTTATCACTCAACCATAATTAAAATCACTTGTCAAGCTGGCGTGAAGATCTTTCGGTGAACATTTTTGACTTCAACTGAGCATTGTAACAGCCCATTCAGTTGTTATGCTTGGGACTGTTGTCAGTCTGACAGTCCTGGAGTTCATTTACCACTTTCTCTGTTCTTTTTCCCCATAGTCCTTTGAAACTTTCTTGTTGTTTCAAAACTCATCAGAGGTTAAATATCAGCCAATTTTTTTAAAAAAACTTCATAGGAAGTAAACCAGAACTCCCACTGAGAGTCAAAAATGAAGGCATGAGCCAAGGTGTTGATTCTGTTTCTAACTATAATCACTGAGTTTTGTAACATCTGGTAAACAATTTAGTGGAAGGCTGTTCTGGCTATGTATCCCATCCTCATACTTGGACCACAGTGTTCTATTTCAGACCTGAAAATAACCTCTTTATGAAGGTAGCTGTGGAATCAGTCTAAGGTGTTTGCTGCCTCATCATAGTATTTAGGACAAATATAAGTGGACCTGAAACACACAAGGTTTTTCTTAAAAAACAACAAAAAAAGAATGTTTTGATTTGTTGTGTTCTGATTAACCAGTTACAGCATTTCTACTGAGTAAGTCTGTGCCTGCTCAGTACGAATGTGGGCCTTTTACGCAGCAACAAAAGAGAGACAGGATTTTTTATTAGCTGGAAAAAAGCAAGGAATATCAGGAAAACAGTGTGGAGGCTATATTTTTAAAAGGCCCAGCTTTCAATCAACTCCCTTTTATTTATCATACTTTCTTTTGCGTTGATCAGTACCAGGTACCAGTAAAAGCACCAATAAAACTGCACAAAAGCATTGATAAATAACATTCGCCACAGTAGGAAACATGATAAATTAGCAAATAAATGAGCTTAACAGGAAGGTTGGTGAATACATTTGCCTAAATAACTGCTGCACTGGCCATGCCATGTGATTGCATTGCCTGGGAAGCAGCAAATAAGTAGCCAAGAGATACTGGCTCTTGTTGGAATAAAAAAAAACAGTCGCATCCTGTAATCAGATTCAGGAAAAACACTGAATCACAGCATACTTTAAGAACTGAAACCCTCCTGCAACATCCCCAATTAATGTGTTCTGGTTTCACCTATCAAATGCAGCCAATTCTGAGAGGTCAGCAAGGATATGAGAGTGGAAGGCATGGGATGCTTAATTTTTGTTCTTATGAAAAGAAAAAAAATATGCTTATCATTTGGGATAGAAACAACAGTGTTACCTGAAAAACTGAGAACATCTTCCACTCCTAGTCCTTTTGTTCACGTGTCTGGAGAGCATGCCTGGTTAGCATAGACCAAGGTCATTTTAGGAAGACACATACAGGAGAGAAGAGGCTTGAAAAGGAAGCACAACTGGTGTTGGAAGTGGTCATGATGCAGCAGTCCTGCAAACCCAAGAAGGGGCACAGGGAAAACATGAATAGGAAAAACTAATAGCGACGAAAGAGAAACTGGAGAGACTAGAGCTAAAAGGGGAGAAGGCACATAATTCCTTTAGCAGACAAGTTTCTGAATAAACTAGGCTGTAGTGTAGGACCCCTCAGTTTGACTCATGTGAGTGAGGCTCATACAAAACCTGAAAGTCTGGGGGGAAATGAAACCTGGTGTCTCTTAGGGAAAGAAAGGCAAAATTGCTGCATGAGATTCTGGCCAAGGAGTTTTTGCTGACTACTCAAAACATGTAACTATAATGCAGTGGAATAGGACTTGTTTAAATAGGCTTAATGCCATGTGGCATATTTATAACCCATATTTGTAGTAAAAATATCAGTGAAATACTAGCCGATGTCTGTTTAAAACCCGTGGTTCTCCGACCTGGAACATTTTATTTTCTTGCCCTTGGCATGGCTTGGTGAAGGCTCAGCCTTGACTGGAATACAGGCTGTTGTTTTGCCTCACCTGCATGCAAACAGACATCACATGCAGAGGAGCAGGGAGGCACCAATACAATTTTTCTCAAGACCTCACAACAATTTGTTGACAGCATTATGAAAGAAGCCGGGTATCCTGACTGGCAGTACCATTGTGTAGACAATACATCAAGCTCCTTGTCTGTTATTTTTAACAGGACTGCACAGTGCAAAGTCTTTAATCAAAATCTGGGGGGGGAGGGGGGAGAAGTTTGGTTGGGCCCTGAACAAACCTAGATAAAGAGGAAAGGTACTAATCTCTTCACGAATGTGATTGGAAAAGTACATTCTGTTATTTGTTCCAGTGAGTAGTATAATCCTGCTTCCCAGTCATCCAAATAGGATTTTGTATTGTCAACATGTTTTTTCTTAATAGGATGATGCTATGAATTCATGTCAATGCAAGAGAGGGAAGCCAGATTATATGCCTCAAGAGATTATATATTTCATTTTAGCTATTCGTGAAATATCTGTTTTTTTTTCAACTTTACAAGGTGTTGTGCCTCATACAAGAGCTGTCACAAACTTCTGAGGAGCCAACAATTTAGAGCAACACCTAATTGCTTTAAAAAAAAGACTCAGTTATTCATTTTCTGAATGAAATATTACTTTCATTAAGACTTACTAAAACCCTGTAACTCTTCTGCTAATTCAGAAATGTGCAATACTAAACTCCTGGCAATACATCTCCCCCTCTAAAGAAAACCTGCAATCATATACTGCTTTGCTGGGTTACAAGCATTATTCTGTCTCAGTACTAGTGAGATGGAGGAGCTGCTTACTCACACACACAAAAAAAATACTGCTTATGATAAGCCTAACACCATTTACAGTGAGACAGGTTTTGTCCCAGGATACTAAAAGAACTACCTCAAGAGGGGAGTGGAGATGCAGGTACTGAGCTCTGTTCCCTGGTAACAGCAGTGGGACCCAAGGGAATGGCAAGGGGGTTAGGGAAAGGTTCTACACCAGAGGGCAGCGGGCATGGAACAGGCTGCTCAAGACAGTGGGCACGGCCCAGAGCTGCCAGAGTTCAGGAAGTGCTTAGACAACACTCTCAGACACAGGGTTGGAGTGTTGCGTGCTGCTGTGTGGAGGCAGGAGTTGGACCCTATTCCATGATCCTTTCCTCTTCCAACTTGGAACATTCCGCGATTCTATGACTCTATAGTAATGCTTATTCTAAGTGTTCTTGCAAGAATTCTTGTAAGAATCAAAGATCCAAAGGTCTGTTCCGGATTTTTTTTGTTGTTTGACTAACACAGAAATCACACTATCTTAAAAGTAAAGTCTGCACAGACCACAGTGGCAGCCTTTGGTCAGTCAGGCTTGAATCTCCGAAACTTAATTGCATCATCTTTTCTTCTACTTTGACTTGCATCAGCTCTTCTCTAGGACAGGGAAAAAAGAGTGGGCAGGAGATTGGAACAAAACATTGTGCCCTGTTATGCCTCCACAATTTGTTACTTACCATGTGGGTGACATAATGAAGCCCTGGGTTGCATTTATTTCAAATACGGATGTGTGCTTCTGAAGCATCAAAAACCAACCATAAAGAGGAGTGGTTGTCTGCTTTGTATACTACCTGGCATCAAGGGGAGGAGACAGAACAGTCTTCAGTGGGAAGAAGAAGAGCAAAGAGTAATAATATGTGACTTGAACATTGATTTAACTTGAAAGAGTTGTGTTTACATTTGTATTTGTACAGATAATGATCAGCAGAAAAGAGACAAACTGATGCAAGCCTTTGAGAAATACAAGAAAGATTTCATTCATGGTCTTCATGCCACATCAGTCAACTTCAGAAATGTTTCTCTAGGCCAGTAGAATGTATTTGATATTCTGACAGCGTGTGACTACTTGTCACACAGGTAAATATCAAGTCACCTGACAGAGACCAACTTCTTCATAGTCAGCTGCAGTCCAAAGTGCTGGGAAGTGCCTGTAACACCGCAGGCTTGTGCACTGTGGCTTTTTATAGTCTGGTCAAGCAGAAATAATATTTGACTCTTGGTTTTGCCTGGGAAGATACCAAAAAGCACGTAGTTTCATTGTCTTAAAACTAATGAATGTATGTGCCTTTATGATCCACTGAGTTTTCACCTAAGCTGCAATGACTTAATCATGTTTTTTGCTAGACTCGACAGCTATACTCTCATCTGTTCTTACACATACGTGGTCTACACTGTAGATCTACAATGACATGTGCGTATGTCATGCACAAGTACATGACTAGAATGTTATGTGTACACATAACATTCACAAACCCAACGTCACCTCTTTGTTCCTTTGACAAATAGGATTCAATTTCATGTTGAAGCAGAATTTTTAACGAAGTTTTACATGGGTGCCTGGAAAACAAAAATTGAGTGAATTTACTGAAATAATTTGGTGGCATATATGACAACATTCTTGTTAGGAAAATTGCTGTACACAATATGAAATAAATAAATAAATCCCTATGATTTTTACCAAATTCCCTCTGAACAAAATACAATAACATCATGTTGTTTGACTGTATCCTCTGAATTTTAGAATGGTATTCATTGGTAAAAGCAAGATACTGAAGGAATCAATCCTAATTCTCTATATTCTGACATTTATCAGAGACTGTACAACCTTGTGGTCATGTGAGTAGGCCACTCTTTCCTTCTTTACCAAATTCTACCTATGGACCTCAATGCAATGCAAAGTGTTATCCAAAATACTTTGTTCTGCCATAGTACTGAGTCTCTCTGGGGGTGAAAGTCCCTCAGGAGACTATATTTAGATTGTAAAACTTTCTGTTTGTTGAGATTATAGTGTGTTTACCACTAGATTACCAGGGACGCAGTTTATGAAGCAGGTCATCCAAATTCAAACAACTGTATTATTTTGATTTTTAAAACCTTGGTTCCACTGAGATAAGTAAGAAAATGGTAAACCATGATTTCACTGATGGTATTTATGAGGATAACAGTGATTCTGCTGGAATTCAGACTCTCAAGATGGAGCTCATACCTGAATAGTCCTATAAGGAGAGTTAGTAGAAGGTGCCATCCCACTGCTCCTAAAGAGGATTGCCATGAGAATGATGATGTCCAAGGAAGGAAAAATCTCTTCTTCCTCTGTGAGGCCTGGCAAGGAAAGAGGAATTTCTGTAATTTCCTAGGAATACCTGTCATGAGAAACCTCAACTTTGCACAGAGAAGGAAGGAAAAAGAAACTCGAAAAGGGACGTGTTAATAACTAGCTGTAGCGCAGTGACAGTGTTGCTTTCCTTCTAACTGCAACTCAGTCAGACCACTTGAAGCAGTTTGAAGACTGGTTCTTAAACTTCCTTCTTACTGAATCTGTTTGTAGGAGGCACTGACATCACCAGACTGCTTTTGTGATTTTTTGGGGGGCATTTTGTTCTTTAACTTGCAGGTGAGGTGTTTGCTGTAGGAAAATGTTCATCTGCATTTGACATCTGCTCAGCTATTCCAGGACAGAGAGAGAACAGCCTCCCTCTGTATCTTTTCAGAGGCTCAGTTTGAGAACTCAGTTGCCAGCCTCTTCTGCAAGGAAGACTGCTCAGCATAGTTTGTGTCAGAATCCTGTTCCTGCCTCTGGTAAAGACAGGTCATCTGCTTTGCAGCCCCAACAGTCTAATTTGCATTTAAACAGTCACAACAGGAAGAAGGCATTTCAAAACTCTTCTAACAAAACATACTCTTGGGACCTCCTTGACAAACACTCACTTTGCTTCACAGAAAAAAAAAAACCAACCACAAATCTTAAAGACATCACAGCAACCTTTTCTCTTGAAGCATAGGTACTATTATCCTCCTCCCCCCAAAAAGAGCTCATCTTCTGACAGACTATCACTCAAATCAGCAGATATCAGTAATGAAAAGGAAACAAAGTCACACAGGTACTTTGTTTATGCACCAATTCTAAAAGCTAATTTGCCTTTCAAACACGACCCCTTTAAGCTGAAACAATTGGTTTTCATTGTGGTTTTGATCTTTCAGTTTTTTAGAAGACACAAATGTGAGACTTTGCTCACATAACTTCTCTCCGTGGACAGTTGAGGTTGGCATACCCACTTTGGTAGAAAGAAAATGAATGGAACCCACTATTCATACACAAAACTTGTGCTGCTTGTGTAGAAAAAAAGATGAATTACATCATCTTTGGGAAGTATACATTAAGAGCAGTCGCTAAGATCACAACTGAGGTATCTAATGTGTGGCAATATAGGGTCCAAAGACTTCTGCAAACAAAACAGGAAAAGCTCAAGTGAAACGTAAATCTGAGAAATGTAAATCAGGCACTATGCAATTCGAAAAACAATATCTCAATTTTTGCAGTCATTTCACCTTTTGCTTGATTTACAGCCTTTTCATTTCATTGATCTAATACTTTAGGGCCCAGAAACACCCAGGCAAAGGGCTAAGCACTCAGCCTACAGTCAGACTGCAGTATGCCACACAGACCTGATGTGTGCTAGCTCTCTGTTAGCTTGGATTGTTCCATACCATATTCCAACCACCAGACTTTCACTTTAGAACATTAGAAAAGAAAGTCCTAAATTCAATCACAATTCAATCACATTCCTATTTGATAAGCAAGGATAATTTCGGTATCAATCTCTTTTTGCAAGCCTTCTGTCTGATTTTTTATAGATATTTAGCACATTCTTTTAAAGGAAAAGGTACCTTATTTAAATGAGCTCTCTAAATATTTCCCATTTTGCCAAAACTTCTGCTTTCCTACATAGTGTTTGCACAGTTTTTTCTCTTTTCCATTTCTGCTAATGTGAACCTAACTAGTAGAAATATTCTTTCTCTATTCACATGAGTGATTGACGCTCTAGACATTAATTTCATATGAGCAGACCTGTCACTTTTGTATAGTGTTGCAGTGATTTTTATGTGTTATAGAATCGAATCATTTCCCCCAGTGCTCTGAATAGAAATATAAAATGTTAATATAATAGAAAATCTACTTTTTTCCTTTACCTGTTTGTGGCAGAACTGTGAATCATGGATACCCAATTCTGAAATGCGACTTTTTCCAGGACTACAAGTAAGTTAAATATTTTTTGTTCCTTTTAACTGTTTCTAAGTTTAGAACAAAACGTTAGAAGTAGAAATCTGATGGAAAATTAAATATAAGGCACAAGAGTCATTTACCAACGCCTACATGTGGTGAGTGGAAGTTACTTTTATGGATTCAAGATTCAGCCTTCTTCTTCTTCTTTTTCCTTGGGAAGAAAATTGGAAAAGCTGAGTCATGCCACTCAGTTCCCTCTTTCTGTAGGCAAAATATATAATAACTAAACTAATAACTGAGTAATTTTTTTGTGATATCTATATGTCCATTGGGACACTTTTTCATGAATTGATTTCTATGAAAGGTATAGATACTTTTGGTTAATGAAATCAATGTAGTAAATTAAATTAATGAATTAATATAATTAGGAAGCTGACCAAAGAGCTCTGAAAAGCACTCTTTTAAAAGAACATGAACCCAGACAGTAAAAAAATGCATCCCAGTAAAGAGGTTCATCAATTTTGAATATGTTGGCCCAATTCCTTATTTAATTTAGTTACTATAAAACTGCTGCTGCTGTGGGTTGTATTGTAAACTTTGTGTTTTTTGTATTCTAATGAAAGATGCTGACAGCTTATGTATTTGTACAGAGAAGAAGAGTATCTTCTTCTTCAAGATCTTACAAATGACATTTTGAGTAGAAGTTGTTACCATGCAGAGTAAGTACTTTGCATTTCTTATTTTTCATTTTAGCTAGAAAATACTGACCAGTTACTCAATTGATGATTGGTGCTTTTAATGAGATTAAAATGAAATCTGAAGCCAGTTTAGCTTGGTGCATATTCTTGTGACTGCATTTTTTAGGACTCCTGATTTAAACTGAGCAGAAGACTATTTAAACTGAACAGAAAATACTTGTAATCATCCTTGTATTTCCCAGTAAGTTCTAGTAGAAACATGGAAATATCATATTTTCTGACGCCATTCTCAGTCTCATGCCTGTACATAGTAAGGCGACAAGTGTTATTGTTACAACACTTTGATTCCAGTTTCAAGTCAATCCTGATCTAACAAATCATGGAGTTACAGTGATTCTTCTTTAGCTGTATCACAGCAAAAGATTTTGTGTTTAGAGTTCTTTCTCCCTCATAGAAGAGCAAAATGAATTAATGCAGTAACTGCTTCCTTTAGGATGTGTGCTGTCAATTAATGATGCATGCACAAAGACTAGAGCCAAATGTATTCAGTAGTGCTGGTGTCTAATGCAGCATCCTTTTCTGGTTTCATGATCTGTATGTGCTCCCATGCCACCTATCACATTTCTAGCAGAAAACTGTCTTCTGACCATGGGTTTATTTGAAGGTCTGCTCAAAGTTACAACACTGTGCCCCCTTTTTCTGTGCCATTGCCTGGCCAGCATTTTAAATAGGAGGCACTTTGAGAATTTACCCCGAGCGTTCAATTTAACCCAAGACAACTTTTGTCTTGGTTAAGTGCTGTACTTTGATGCTGGAGAGGTACTAACCTCCTGGTGTGAATCAAACTCATTCTGTTACCACACCAAGATTTTCTACTGATAATCCCTAGGGCTCTTTTGAAATTGTTTTTAGCAACCATTTATATGGATATTTTATTTGTTTTCTGAGCAAGCAGTTAAAGGTAAGAACTTTCTTTTTTCCTTCTAAAAGTAACAGTTTTCTGATGACCTTTATTGCCTTAATTAGAAATGCAGGTTTTCATTTGAATTTTTTGATTACACTGTGAGGAACAGTAGAAACTTTGGACATCACAGTGTCAACAAACATTGAAGAGGTTGCTGAGCTTCCCACCTGCCCATAGTGTTAAAAAGATGATAACATTAAAATAAAATAAAGACTTAAGCTGCTGTGTGTCAGCCTCCAAATTAACAGGAAGATTGGTATCCTTCAGAAAACAAGTGTTTTCTCAGTAGTAAAAACCAAACAAAATAAAACATACTTACCTAAATGCTGTGACAGCAGCAAGGGGTTGTATGCATGCTCCATGGTATACCCAGCTCAGTGTTGCAAGGCTGAAGGCTTTGTGCGCTTAGGCTTGTAGGATGAATGGACCAACCTCTTGAGTTCAGGTACAGGTTTTTAGATGCTGTGTTCTCTTCCCTTTGAAATAAACTTTACTAAAAATATATGAATGATCATCTGTTATTTTTTTGGGAACTTAATTTCTCTGCAGAATAAAAGTGAGCAATTGGTAGTGGTCTGAAAAGTTTGGATATATTCTAAATGATCTGAAAGACAGTCTGAGTGGTATTTTTCATTTGAAAGTATATGACATTTGAATAGTTGGTTTTTTTTTCATTTTCATTTTATTTTCATTTTTCTTTTTTTTTT